TATATATATATATATATATATATATATATATATATATATATATATATTATAATTATTAAAGATATATGCATGAGTGCAATAATATTGTGTCATACACATTCTGATAAAAAATAAAAAATTATAAATTATAAACAATATTGTGCTTATATATATAACCTATATAAAAATATATAACTTAAAAGTATGTAATATACAATTTAATGTACAATTTTTTTCTTTAATACGTTAAAATTGATATAATATGCATGATACGACTATTTGTACTACTATTCGGTTAAGTTGGTATGACATATATACTACTATTTCTTCATGTTGGTACTACACTTCCTTCCCCAATGTCTGGCAACACTGCGTAACACAAACGCCAACGTGTCCTCGGATACTCTAGAGGCGATAGCCCAACGTGCAAGCGCACTCTAAAGGGTTGCGAAGACCTAAACCCGAATGCCAACGTGTCTATGACACTCTGAAGGCAGCGATGATCAATGCAGATATGCACACGTATACCTCTGGCGAGGCAAGTGCCCAACGTGCTTACGCACTCAAGAAGGCGATATGAAGCTAAGCTAGAACTCAAAATAATACCTCAGCGAGGCAGTGACTAGATGCGCTAACGCAGTCAAAAGGCTTAGAGCCGTCGCCCGCGGCGTCTTATATAGGCGCCGCACCGAAATTTAACGGGAGCGGTGCACTTGGACACGGTGCATTTGGACACAGCCAATCACAGCACCGTATGATTAGAGACATTTGTAGGGTCCCTTGGAACAGCGACTTGTGATTGGACTGTGTCCAATTGCCCCGTGTCCAACTGATATACACCCAAATTTAACTGCGAGCGACGGCCCCGGCTCGGCGCGCTGCCGCGTAGCGGCGACGGCGTGAAGCCGCGGCGAGCGGCAGTCGCCCGCGAGCGGAACGTGCCTGGCGCACGGCCGCTTGCCGCTCGCTATCCGTGCGGACGACAGCTCCCGTACGAAACAATATAAAAATAATAATAATAATAATAAAATAAATTATTATTAAATTTTATTATATTAATACATATGTATTATTCATATAATACAATATACCATAATCATTGCAACGCTTTTCCTTCGCGTAGTCGGCTCGCGGAGACAGCGCTGACAAAATCTACGGCGATCGCTCAACAGAGTGAAACCCGGTTTCACTCCTACGACACTCGCGACTCCGGTCGACCTTCCGGAATTGGGCGCCAGGTACAGTCGGCCGTACCACCTTACTATTTTCACTAATCTTAGAACTGGTCGATCAGAGGAGCGTCGGTCGCCGGTGCGACCCTTCGGCAGCTCAGCCGCCCTTCGGTAGAGGGGCTGGTTCGATCGCGGTCGGAGATGCTTGAAGGAAGGATGGGGTTAACAATAAGACACGAGGGCTGTGATCTACTGTATCGGACACAGATTTATTTTCGACAGCTAATTGATTACAGGTCTTTATTCGCGCTCGCGACAATGTTCCATACGGCAGCGGGTCGTCTCGATTACGACCTTCAAAGTTCGCGACAGCTATTTTCACGATTGTTCGATGCGGCGGTGCGTGTTCGTCCTCGGTTACGACGGGGACGGTCGACAACGTTACCCCGACGCGTGAGCTTTCCTCTCTAGCGAGACGGATGCGGTTCCCGTTACCTCCCGTGTGGGGGACGGCCGGGCCTCGGCCGTCGACGCGTCTCCCGATCCGCGACTCCAAAATAACCACGCTAAGGGCCGTCTTTATGGAACGGACTCACCAAATCGTCGGTCGCGAATCGGTCGCAGTCGTCAGCGGGCAACGGCGATCCCCTTCCGGATCACGCAACCAAAATTAGTCCTGGAGCGGAGTCGGCCTTACGGTGTTCGTCGGCGTCGTCGTCCTTGCTGATGCAGCTTGGTGGGCGTCACGTCCTTTACACTTTGCCGTTTCACTGCGAAAACATGAGAGCTCTCGCTGGTTTGCGAGGCCGGATTTTATTCCCAATTTCTCCTCACCCTCCCCTCCCAATCCCTCTTCTCACCAGTTGGCGACCTTTGATTGGCTACTACTCCAGAACCGTTTATCTACCTTTGTTGTTTTTCTCTTTTTTGTTTGCATAACGGCAGCTTATCAATTTGTTGTTGCGACCTTGGACCTCGCATCTTCGACAGCCGTTATTTCAAGTTGCCTGTGAAGCCTCGCAGAGTCCGTGTTAGCTCAGCGGACGCTCCGGATCGCGGAGGATTCGCTGGCCGACACTGTGCTTCGGCCGCGACTGTCCTCCGCTCGTCCGTGATGTCGATCCGCTCCGCCCTTGCGGTTTCCTCGCGGCAGCTCCCAGTCTCCTTTGCTCTCTCTCCATCGGCAACTAATGTCAAGATCCCGGTAGCTCCGTAGTGCTGGCTCTGAAAGCATGTAGCCCTATCGGTCTGCCCTTTCTAGCAGGGATACTCCCCAAATTGCGGAAATTATTCACCTGATCTCCGGCCTCCAACCTGTCGTCTCTCTTCCTTTCCGCCCGTGGCGGCAGCTTCTTCTTCTCGTCGACTCCGATCTTGTTGACGCTCGTTCGACCATTCGCTCTTAATTTTCATACATTTTTCGCTATAGACGGGTGCGCATCCCCTCGCCTTACGGCTAGGACGCGACCCTCACACTTCAGCTCGGAAGCGCATTCCTGCTTCCTTAGCAACCCCCCAGTGACGGACGATCCTCAAAAATCGTCACGTCACATCATATATATTTTTCTTATTTGTTATATATAAAATTGAAATGCGTTTAAGCAATTTTGTGCAAACCATGAAGAATATTCTTTTATTTCAAAATATTCTCTATTATACAGAGTCTGATGCAAGCTGTATCGATAACAAAAAATTTATAAAAAACATTAAACTGAAAAAAATAATTGAAGTCATTTTGCAACCCGATGAAAAATTTTTTATACATAATTATATATAATTATATAAAATTATATATAATTTGACAAAAATATATAAAAATATATATAATGCATCATGCAATTATATATAAGTTTTTAAGACTTTATACATAATTTTGTATGATGTTGCCTGATGTCACCTGGATATAATTATATATGAAGATATATACCTATATAAAATTGTATAAATATATACTAACGTATGCATACTTATGCATAATGAGATATAATAATATATAATTACACAGAATGTGCGATTTGCGAATTACTTGTTACTTTGTATAATTATGTATACTAATGTATATGTATGCAGAAGTATATATAATTATATGTAAATATGTAGAATCATGCATATGTACATATAATCAAAATATAGAGCGATGTAGACACAAACAGTGGCGCGTTGCCGCGCGACAGCGGTTATCTTCAGAAGTAAACCATTTTTCTTTACACGGAGTTACCGATTCACGTGCGTTCATTAGCTCACAGAGAATAATTTATTCCTTGTCAACTATTGCGAATTTTGCAAAATGGTACATGACTTTTCTATTCAATTTAATCCGTTCTATCTTCACACGAGCGATTGTATGAAATATAACAGTACTTGTATAAGTATAAGTCAGCAAGATATCGTATAAGACATTAGAATCATTATTAACTCTCTTAATGTCAAAGTGATTCAGTAACTACCAAGACTAGGACTAGGACTCTATCAAGCAGAACAGATGAGGTAGTTCGAGTTCGAAACTACGGAAGGATATATGAAATAATTTTTTTCTCTATGTATATTAAGAAACTCTCAGTAAGTCCTTCTTTAAGTTTTAACATAGAAGAAACGAAAAAAGTTACTATTTATAGCATCAAAAGGCATTTGTATTATCGAAAATTATGCATAATTATGTATAATTTTATCTATTTAGATATAATTATGTATAATTATATATGAACAAATTTCATATATAATTTTGCATAATTTTGTATAAATATTTTTGCAAAATTATGCATGAAAAATTTTTCATCGGGTAATAAATACTAAAAAATTACTAGTGATTATGTATTACCAGTAATTCAGTAATTTTTTCGTTAGTATTTAATTTCTGGTGAATAATGATAATAAAATCACTATTAAATATTGATAGTAATCAAATACTGAGAATTATTGTGCGAATGTGAAAAATGAAAAAATCATAATATTTAAAAAAATATATTTATAATTCCTAATTTTCTTATGTCTTATAAACTACTAGGTATCGAAGATTGTCAATACACAACTCCAAACTTTTGTGAATCTTGAATCTTGCATTTCCTTTCATTTTCTTAAAGTACTTTACAATATTTATTATTTTATTAAAACGTTAATCTTTATTAAAAAGTACTTTATTAAAAAGTACTTTTTTAAAAAGTTAATGAAAAATTCTGAAAAAAATCTCAGAGCTCTAGGAGAAGAAAATAGACAATTGTTATTTCTTGCTATTTTTCAGTAAAGTTAATAGAATTTGAATAAAAAATTATTGCAACTAGTAATTTTGTAGATATTTTTGTAAATATCTTAGAAAAGTTGGATAAAAGTTGGATAAAAAATGTTTTCAAATAAAAGTTGTTTGCTTCTTTACATAGAATAAAATTCCGTAATAAAATAATGTATATTTCTATTTAAAAAAGCAAAGTTGACCTCGACCTGACCTTGGCGGGGCCACGCAAGGTCAAATCAATGATATTTTCTTATGTCCTCCATCGATCCATATAACTTTTATCTGAAATATTTTTGTCTGCCGGTTTTAGTTTTCGAGATATTGGGTTGTATCATTTAAAATGGGACACCCTGTATATATATATATATATATCGTGCTCCCATGTTAAATCAAATATTTAACGTGTTATATACACAAATTTTGTATATTTATTTATTGTTTCATATTATCCATTTTCCAAATTTTTCTTTCAAAATTACGCAGAACGCAACGTGTGAAAGACGAAACTGATGAGAGATGATCTAGCTTTGCGATAAGATTGCCGCTAGCTCGCTTTATGTGCCACGTCGCGCGGTCGCTCATCAGTGGTGAAATAAGAACAGAGCGATTAGACGTCTGTCCTTTTCTAACTTACTATCATTATATGGAGTTGGGCTATCGCACACAAATTGACATAACTGCATATGCATAGCATAAGATCGTATGGACCAATGAGCATCGAATATTAAGCATCGAACACCAATATGGCGACTTAATATTCGATGCTCATTGGTACATACGGTCTTATGCTATGCATATGCAGTTATGTCAATTTGTGTGCTATAGCCCTTACACTGCGAAAGTGCGCCTGACGGACGTAGTTAGGCGCATTTTGGTTAGATGACGTATCTAAAATGCGCCTAGCTCTGGCCGCTGAATCACCCCGGTAGCCGCTTACATGTTTCTCTCTGGTATCTCGAAACGAAATGAAAATTACAAAAGTGAATAAATTGATTAGACATTGACCAATGAAGTTACAAATATTCTAATAAATTTGCTCATTTTTGTCATTTTCACTCCGTTTTAAGATACACAATCGACCCTTTGTGCATTACGCAGAAAGTCCCGATTGGATACAACCAACCGATGCAAAGAATTATCTAGTGAATTACCAGATCGAACCAATCATTACAATCTGTATCCAATCGTACTATGGTCAATCGGGTCCCTCCCTGCGTTACGTATACTGTAGATTTTCGCATGCGTATCTCATTTGCAGTATTCACACTGCGTCCGATTTCCGACGTACAACATCCGATATCCAATAAGAGAACAGCTTTCTAATAGAGAATTCAATTCTCCATTAGAAAGCTGTTTTCCTATTGGATATCGGACGTCGTACGTCGGACATCGGACGCGGTGTGAATCTTTCAATTCGCACACCGTCAAGAATCGGGCCTCAGGTTAGATATTGACGTGTGTTCTGAAAGAGAATACGTGTTTATACTATCAGTTTATGGTAGAAATGGGTGCAACAGAAGATTCCGTAAGTTTATCCTCACTTATAATTAAAACTAATAATTATTATTTTATTTTATAAAAATATGCACATTATAATGAAAATATTACGTTAAAATGCATAACATTTACATGAGTTATCAGTTATATGACAACTATACATTAATTGTATTGCCACATATGCTGCTCCAAGTAGCCAAACTCAGCTTTTATTATTGGCAATCAGATCCTCACTGAAGTACTAAATCAAGCTGCATAAATTCCCTTTTAATATACTTTAGACATGTATTTACGATTTTCTATTTTTTCAAGATCTGTGGCAAAGAAATATTTCTCCTCGTTTGAATAAAATATATGGTATTTGCTTCATAGGTCATAAAAATCAATAAATGGGACGGTTCAGCTGTCAAGAATGCCTTGGACGATGCAGTCAAGGATGTACTGACAAATAAATATAATTATCTTGAAAACTTCTCTCTTCTTGATGGAAGGCTAGCACTTTGTGGAATCACAGTTACAATAGCTATCATAGCATTGTTGTGTGATTACTTATATCCATTCCCTACTTCAAAGCCTGTTCTAGTTATCTGTGTTTCTTTGTATTTCATATTGATGGGACTCTTGACATTATATACAACATATAAAGAGAAAGGCATATTTGTAGTTGCGATTCAAAGGTAAGTTTACAATCCGTAGATATTTATTTACACTTATACATATATCACTTATGGTATTCATGAAAAAGAAATCTAAAAAAAAAAAGAATAAAAAGTAAACTAAAATATGTGAATAAATTCTGCTAGTATTCAAATTGAAGCAAAATAAAAAGTCTTTATGAACCACTCATGAATATCTAGTACAAACTATGAAACTTATTGTGAGCAACAATTAAAAAATGCACAATTGGGGTAGAGAATGAGTATTAATAGTACGCACAATTAATTGAAGTGGAGAATGGATATTCATTATAATTGGGATAAAGGATTTGACATAGAAGGCTGATTGAGTGTATATGATAGGCCAAAAGTTAGTCATTTAGATGTCAAACATTACTATCCTGCCACAATATGATTTCAATTCACACTGGAAAGTGAGTGGCTCTTAAAGATTTCAATTTTTTCATTTTAAAATAAATTGATATGATTTTTCCGAATTTTAGAGATCGTGCAGGCTTCAACCCTGACTTGATTTGGGAAGCTAGCTCCTATTTGAAGAAATATGATGACAAATACAACTTGGTTTTGTCAGTTAGAAGCGCAACGTCTGGCAACATTAACGAGACGACCGTGACGAAGTCCGTTGCGAGTTTCATCGATGTTAACGGCGTGGTGATTCCAGAACTGATAGAGGCCGTTGTGATGACAATGCACGACAGTCTAACGTCGCAACGAAAGGAAAAGTAGCACAGTGTTTCGAAATTGGAATGATTTTTTTTTTTTTTACGAAAAAAGCCTGTGTTTACAAACTCTCAGTCCAATGTTCTCGCATTTCCGATCTCGTGCATAACGATGTAAATCATTTTCACAAGAAAAGAGTAAATTATATAATACATGTGTATTACAATTAATATACATCTTAAAACAAGTTAAACGTTATAAACTACCTTTTTTTTCGAGCAACCAAGTATTTCATATATATTTATTTTACTGTGCCTATCCTGTGTGCATTGCCAATAAAGTTGTTTGCATATGTTTTCTTAGTCTCCCTTCACGCACATTTCGTGCAATACATACTATATATGTTAATACGATACGAAAGAGTACGTAAATAATTTTATATGACAATTTGTTATATATTACGACGTCGAGTCGTGTAAATAATAAAAATTTATCGCGTACTTAGATCTTATCGAGAAATTACTTGTAAAATACAACACAGATACAACACAAATACAAGTTGATAGATATACAAAAATAAAAGGACAATATACCATTCCTAAAATATATAAATATAATATCAACATTTTCTACTCGAAAGTAGAAAATATTGTACCTCTTTTCTCGTATAGTTTATATATATATATACACACACATATGTGTATGTGTATATATATACACACATACATACATATATATACACACACACACACAGGGTATCCCACACTGATAGAACACCTGTTAAGGATAGGTAAGAGGTGAAATTTGGAACTGAAAGTTCCTCTTCCATCTTTGGATCCGACATTTTTATATATATATATATATATATATATATATATATATATATATATATATATATATATATATTAATATATATATATATATTAATTGAGTCTGACAATCTTTTAGCGCCCCGTGTGAGCGCTCAGGGTCGTAGGGCACCGTGGACTCCCTTAGGGGCCCTGCTTGTCCGTTTTATCCCCTTTTTTATATCACAGAAGAATAAATATGAATGAATGAGTGAGTGGGTGTATGGATGGCTGCCTGACCGGGGCTACGGGGTAGCAAGTTTTTAATGTATGGGAGTGATGTATGGGTGTTTTTGTGTGTGGTTATGAGTGCATGGATAATTTAAATGTTTTTAGTGCGAGTGGGCGGAGTGATTGCACTTTATGTGCCGGAGGGGGAGGGCATGTGTGGTATGTTTCCTTCGTGGGTGACTTGAATATTTTCTACATGTCGATGATTGAGTATCGTGAATGATTTTAGTGTGTACAAAAAGGGAAAACGGACAAGCAGGGCCTTTGAGGAACCCACGGCGTCTTACGTCGCTGAGCGCTCACTCAGGGCGCTAAGGGATTGGCAGACTAAATTAATAAGTTAATATCTCGTTAACTAATTGTCGGATCCAAAAATGGAAGAGGAACTTTCAGTTCCAAATTGCACCCTCTACCTACCCCTAACGGGTGTTATACCAGTTGTGAGACACCCTGTATGTGTGTGTGTGTATTTCTATAAAGTTATATAATATAAAAAAATTATTCCAAATTACATTTGTATCATACCGTTCCGTAATGTCTATAACATAAAGATCAATATCGATTTTTTGCAAGTCAAATGTTATTAAAATAATGTTACATTTTTTCTTTTTACGTGAAGTATATAAAGGCTGCGTTCCAAAGTTCACTGCCAGTACTGAAAATCTATAGTTCATGTTACATATGCTATAAAATTTCAGCACTGACAGTGAATTTCGGAACACAATCAAAGTAACATGATTCTTTGGCATGTTACAAAAGTACAATCGAGAAAAAATAAAGAGATTATCGAAAGAATCGAGCAAAAGAATCGAGTATCTAGAATTTCGAGTATATAAAACAAAATTTTTTTTCCGCATATGATTTCGTATGTAATATATTTTTAGAAAAGCTGTGGTGCATTGTCAGATGATTTGAGTGATATATATAATAAAATCCGACTTATATTTTTTTATCACTTGACGTTAAAAAAAAATACCATTTTTTGTAAACACTATATAAATAAAGCATTTCCTTTCTTAGCCATGCGTTGTATCGTCCTCAACGAAATCAGCCGCTTCTTCTCGCGTCACGCATTCAACGTGCGAAACTTTATTTCTGAATTTTACTCCGTAAAATTTATTCGCGTGATGTAATAATTCGGGTCTGTAAAATAAAACTCTATGTTATCATTTTTCATATTATATTCTTAAAAAAAATAATTTAATGAACGATTTTAAAAGAATTAATATTCCATTTAAAACTCCCGTGATGTGGAAGCTCCCCGGTTTGACTTTTAGATTGGTGCTACGCGATCTCTTGGATTTATTTCCGACGTTTTGCACATGAACAAGTTCGCTTCTTCAGGGAGAAGAGCAACCTGAAACCTTGGTCTTTTGAAGTTGCATCTTTCCTTAGAGAAGTAAACTAAAATGTCACGAAATAAACTTAGCGTTGTATTTGTTCGGAAATAAATCCATGAAAAATACGACATCAACTTGGAAACCAAACCAAGCAAAATCAATATTAGTTAAGGTTCCTAGCCCCCCATTGTCTATCTCTTTTTTGACATCAGAAGCGAGAAAATGCTAAAAATTCTTGCGAAATACGTTAAAATAAAAATATATATCCATAAAGTAACACTTGCAATCGATTAAACAAATTTGTAAGATATTCCGTGCACTCCCCTTTTGCTTTAACAATCAATAATTTGTCGTAAATTAACGTGACAATTAATACGATACAATTAATCTTTTTAATATATTTCTTCGCCTATTTCTATTCAGATTAATTTACAATAAATTATTGTACGAGCAAAAGGGGAGTGCACGGAATATCTTATAAATTTGTTTAATCGATTGCAAGTGTTACTTTATGGATATATATTTTTATTTCAATGTATTTCGCAAGAATTTTTAGCATACATTTTCTCGCTTCTGACGTCATTAAAAAGAGATAGACAATGCGAGGGGCCAGGAGCCTTAAATATCAGTGAAACGAAAACACTTAAAACATTTTTAAGTAAATCTTAGCAAGATTAGCGTTGCGTCGCATTACCTAAATGTCGTAGTGATGAACTGAGCGTCTGAACTAAGTTCATGGATCATGTCTGCCACTGCTTTCCTGTGCTGTGCGTCCAAAGCTTGATCGATTTCGTCAAACAAGTAGAATGGTGCGGGGTCGCACTTCTGAATTGCGAATATCAATGCTAATGCTACAAGCGATTTCTGTCCACCGGATAGTTGGTTCATTTCTCGCATTTCAGCTCTATGTCCCGTGAATGACACTCTTATACCTAAAATCGATAATTATGTTCAACATATAAACTTTTAGTATTGCACAGGTGAAAATTTATTATCTTACTGTTTACGAACGATCGAAATTTATAAAAAGCTAAAAATGGCTCTAATGTATTAAATACAATAAAAATAATTAAGAAGGAAAGAGCATGTATATATAAAAACTAGGCACAGTTGTTAAAGTGCAATTATATATTGTAACATAATGAAATATAAATGTTATTTATGTTTCGACCCGATTTGGGTCTTCTTCAGAAAAATATAAATATAAACGCAAAGGTCAACTATAGCAGAAGACCAAAGAAATAGAATAAAACACCGCAAAACGCAATTAAAAATATAGGTCAAACTTTAATTGTTTTGAGGACTATTTTTCCATCTGCGTTTGTGGTTCATCGTTAACCTAAACGTTGTTGGCCACCGTTGTCGATTTGTCCATGAAGGGAGGATTTATACTTCTTTTTTAATGCGAGTTCGACCTGTATTTTTAATTGCGTTTTGCGGTGATTTATTCTATTTCTTTGGTCTTCTGCTATAGTTGACTCTTGCGTTTATATTTATATTTTTTTTAAGAGGACCCCAAATCGGGTCGAAACGTAAATAACATTTATATTTCATTACATTACAATATGTAATTGCACTTTAACAACTGTGCCTGGCTCTTACATGCTCTTTCGTCTTCCATTATTTTTATTGGATTTTACGACCGAAATTTGTTCGTAAACGAAATTTGCTGGAACCGGTCAGAGAGACCGCGAGGAAATCGGCGTGAGAAGGAGCGGGAAAGACAAAGAAATAAATGGAAAAATTATGAGCATCAATGACATTCTAAGATGAGAGAGATTGACGAATCGTAATTAGCTTAAGGATAGAAGCTACATGGATCAAGGAGACTGGAAAGAAAGATAAATTTCGTAGAAGACCTTCATACACTGCGCGGGCTAACAGAATTCTTTATTATACCTTGTCCCGCCTCGATAATGTTCATTCACCCGGTAAGCGCTTACGACGATCACAACGACAAAAAATATGAATTGACCGACGTACGAAACGGTTAAATCGTCACGGAAGCCAAGTTCAAATCTTTTTCTTCTCGAAAGCGAATAATAAGACCTCGAGAATCTTGTAGGGATTATTTATATGTCACTTTGAAGATGATCGCGACCATGCGACGGGATTCGGTTGATGATGAATTATAACTGCCAGCTACTTCTCCTAACGATCTAACCAAATTTTCGGCTGAACAACGGTTATAATTCGTTTTTGATCTTGCGGATACTCGACGTCGGTGGTGATCATTTGCGCGAGAGACGCGTTTTCACACAAAGCAAGTATGATCGCGTAAAGTTCGAAGACGCTGCCGGACGGAGACAAACGCGAGCGTTAGTTGTGATACATAATAATGACTCTGCGATCTTGAACACTTACCAACACCAATAAATCTGTCAGAATCAGCTGGCTCAGCTGTACCGTCATCCTCCTCATCGCCATCCGCAGTTTTCATGACCAATTGCGCGTGTCCCGAAGGTACAAGCTTATTAAACACATCACTGAAATACTTGCTCACCTTAAAAAAGAAATATTTTCACGTAAAATTGTCATAAAGAATTTTTTAATATTATATTTCAAACAAATATTTAAAAACTCATTGTATGAAACCCAATGCAAAACTTTTCCCTCTTTTTTTTCTTTATTAGTTTGATTACGTACTTGTTTAAATGTAAATTGTATTGCTTCACATTTGCGCTGCTCAAGCACCGACATAAGCTCTTTTATTTTCTCGTCACCTCTATCTAACTCCTCTTTCCGTTTCACTAATTTCTCTTTTTGATCGCTAAATGACATGAACTGATCCAAGGCTTTTTTATTTACATGGCTAAAAACAAATGAATGTGACGAAGAAGTTTATAACACAAGTTTATAACATACATTTCTCTCTCTTATGTAGTCTTTAATAAAAATACATGATTCTTAAAGGAATGCTGATTGAAAAGTCGATGACAAACTCAAACAATGTCGATAACGCAGAAACGATCATTACTAACGCAATTATGTAATCCTTTTCGTATTTCTTGTATATATAGAATTTATGTAAATATGTGTTGCTTTGTTTTACCATATTCAGCGGAAAACTTAAGTAGATATATGTAGAAATCTTTCTGCAAATTTTCCGGATATTCTTAAACTTTTGAATTCAGATGCAAAGTAGAACAATGTTCTTCAAAATTGTTCTGTTTGGAGCATCCACACTTTTGGTATATATAAGCTGCGGAATTTTTAGATTAAGCAAATATTACGCTGACAGCTTGAGATTTTACATTTAAATTTGTTTTCATTTTCGCATATTGAGCAATGCTCCTATTTATTTCTGCACGTACTTTCATCGCATAAAAGCATTTGTAATTCTGTACAACTAATACGACGTAAACTGCAGAAAAATGTCAGTATACTGTCGGTAAGATTTCAATTTCAACATCTCTTTAATAGTCATATTTCTGTCGGACATAATCAGTTCATCAAAACACGTACCTATATTTCTTCAAATGATTATTCGCTTTTTCCATCTCTCTGAAAAGCTGTTTCGTGGTCATTGTACTAAATTTAGAATAAGCCTCATGACTAGGCAATGCACCGAGTTCGGTAATTTTCTGCGTACATTCCACTATTTTTTGTTGCAGGATATTTAATTTGCTCGCCAATTTTTCCAGATCTTTTGCGTCAGCCTCTATCTTTTCCTGTGCTTCTTTTTCTTTTAGTTTCCATTTTTCGACATCAGCAGATTCCGCTTTTTGCTAAAAAAGAAAATCACAAGAAAGTAATTGAAGAAAGTTTTAGTTCAAAAAGTATATAAACAATATTGTCATATTGACAAACGTCTTGCTTACTTTCTTCATTGCACTCGTTACTTTTTCATTCTGCGCTTTAAAGTCGTCGTTTACTTTTACTAATCTCTTTTCTATATCCGCCAACTGAATTTTTGATGAGTCGAGCTGCCGTTGCCGATCCTCGACCGATATCTCTTGCAAAGCTTGAACAAGCTCATCTTTCCTTCTCACCAAATTATTTGTTAATAAATTTTCTAACTTATTTTTCTCTGCTTCTAATTGCATTCTTTTTGCGAATGCCTCCTTGTTTTCCTTTGTTAGACGTCTTATGTCGTCATTCAAAGTATCGACCTGTACAAACATTATCAGTAACGAATTAAAAATACAACGAATTCTTAGGCTAACTGGATTAATTTTTACGAAAATAAATTTAAGAATAAAACATTTATATGCTATTAAAGAAATAAAAAGAAAATGTTAATTCAACTCAATCCTACTACATGCACACCTGATGCTGATCTGCGACAGATAATTGCGCCATAAGTTCTTGATGAAGTTCACTTTCCAAACCGTCTTTAGTCGCGCGCATCGCTTCTAAACTAGATGTACACTGTGCAAGGCTTCTTTCCTTTGGCGTTCGGTACCTTTCTATCGCGCTTAACTCCTCCTTCATAAGACGTATTTCTGCCTTCATTTTGTCATATATATCTCTGTTAAAAACAGATTGTTAATTAGAAGAAGCTAGTTAATTCCAGGAATTAGTATTCAAACATGAATACTTTGAATATATAAAACTGTTAGTTATAAGTTATAATTGGAGTCTAATAAATATCACTTAAATCACTTACTTAGCTTTACTATTTCTAGTTTCAGTTCTCTGCATTTCGCTAACATAAGAACTAATATTTTGGTCCGCCTTTCTGATCTCCTCTTTAACCGTCGTTAATTGATTCTCGAGAGTAGAAATCTGAGACATTAATTCCGACCTTGTTTTCTGTATCTCAAGACGTGACTTGAGTGTATTAAAATATCCACCAGTTAAGGAACCTTTGGATGAAACTTGATCTCCTTCTAATGTAACGCAATCCAGACCAGATGTTCGTGCTAAACTCGTCGCTGCTTCCAAATTACGGCAAATTAAAGTTTTTCCAAATATATATCTGAAGTAAACATATAAATATCAATATATCTATGTTGTGTCAAAAAAATAATCGTAAAAAATGAATCTTACCTCAATGCCTTATCATATTTAGGATCATAATTCAGTTTGGATATCATGGGTATAGCATCGGAAGTCTGCGGATAATCGATATTTTTCACGTGAAGTCTATTTAGAGGCATAAAGGTTACTTCACCCGGCAAACGTTGATTGTTCATTTCTTTCAAAATCTTCGTACCAAACTTATCAGTCTCCACAATGTGATGGAATAACCGATTTCCAGCTGTTACTTCTACTGCCATGTAAACACTTTTGTCGCAATTGAAGTTTTCAATTACAGGCCCGTAGTAACTGCTCACTTCATGAGCCATATCCTTCCGTGTACTGAGGAATCGAAAATATAATTAATATTTATATTTTAATAATTAAATTTATTATATTTTATTAATAAAATATTAAAATAAGTCTTACCGGAAAGTGTCCAATACTTTACGCACACTGTCTCTACCATTCAAAATAGGTTTACCAGCCATGGATCTCAAACTTTGATCCGCTTTCGCCAAATCCTCTTTTAAACCAGATAAATTAAGTTGCAGTACACTCTCTTGCCGATATCTGTAATTTAGTTCAATATTTTAATTGAATTTTTAAGATTAATTTTCACATGCATAGTTTATTCAACCTAAGAGAATGAGATCTAAAAAATTTTGTACTTAAGCAAGTATTTCAATATATTTATTATGTTTGTTGCTTGTGCAAATAATTTCAGAAACTTAACGAGCCAATCATAATAAAAAAAAAAACATTACTGTTCTTTTCGATTTGCTTGACATTGGTCCTTCGATTTAGTGAGGTCATAATATTGCTTATTATGATCGTCTATCGATGTACGTTGCCGTTCCATCTCGCGTGTATGATCCCCTATCTTTTTCTCCAAGGAGACTTGTTTTTCTCCATCACGTTTCAAATCTTCGCTAATTTTCTTCTGATGCTCCTCTTTATCCTTTATTTGCTTGGTAAGTTGTCTAAGCTCATTTTGTATCCATTTATCCCGCTCATCCTGTAATAAAAGTAACAAATACTTTAAAATATTTTACCAAAGTATACTTTATGTATGTATGCATGCATGCATGCATGCATGTATGTATGTATGTATGTATGTATGTATGCATGCATGCATGCATGCATACATACATACATACATACATACATACATACATACATACATACATACATACATACATACATACATACATACATACATGCATGCATGCATGCATGCATGTATGTATGTATGTATGTATGTATGTATGTATGTATGTGTATGTATGTATGTATGTATGTATGTATGCACACTTTTATATATATATATATATATATATATATATATATATATATAAATATATATATATAAAAAATATTAAATTTACGTTATACAATTATATATATTGAATTATTTTACCTTTGTAGTAAATTGACTGCCACGGCCTTGTTTAGCATATAATTCTTTGCGTTTCTGCTCCTTCAGTTGTAATTCTCGCGTACATTCCTCTTCAACGCGTTTCATTCGTTCGTACTGCAAGAAAATGTTTCTCGTTTTAATATTGTCTATAATTTAGATATATCTATATGTATCGATTACCTGAATATTCCCTCACCTCTGGTTTAATAGACTTCAGCTCATCTTCTCGAATAGCGATATTACCTTTCAGCTTTTCCAACTCTTGTTGAGCACGTTTTCTGCTGTCATTGTCACCTTTTACTTCTTCCAATAAATCATTGATGGTTAAAGTCAACTTGGTCTTTTCTTTTAACAATTGCTGCTGTTCCGCACTAAAAATTGTAAGTATTTAAGTGTACTGAGCATAAAGATCCTAAAATAATATCTAACAGTAAAATATACCTAAGAGTATCTCTTTCTTCCTTGGCAGTCTGCACCTCTTTCTTTGATTCTTTCAAACGCTTTGTAGCTGCACGTACCATCTCCTGTGCAGTTTTTGCTTCTGCTCCTAGTCTTGCTTGCTCAGCTCCGCTGTTCGCTCTGGACTCTTCGAGTTCTTCTAATTTCCTTTTATTCTCTTTAAGTTCGCGTTCGTGAATAGTATACTCTAAACAACGACGTTGCTTGTCCCAACGTTGATATTCTTTTAACTCTTCCTTCTCTTCTTCAAGTGTTTTCAAACGTTCCTCTGTAATAAAATAAAAGTTACCTATTGTACTTTGTTTATGCTCCATTATTTTTCTAATCTTAAAGTTTTGTGTATGTGTTTACCTATTGTTCGCAGAAAGTCCTCAATTTTCTCTAATTTTCCTTCTGTTTCCTTCAAAATTGATTTTGACTCTTCTCTCCTATCATCGTATACTCTAGTACCTGCTACTTCTCTCAGTAACTTCAATCTTTGAGAATCTGGTGCTGTTGCCATTTGATTTATCTATAAGAAAAAAAAATTTCAAATAGTAAATAAGAGTTATATTTAATTGTTATAGTATCTATAAACATTCTGTAGCAACCTTTCCTTGCTTCACAATATAATAAGGATTGGATCTAGAAAATCCTGCAGACTCCAATAAATTCATTACATCATTCCTTGTCACTATCTTTTTGTTGAGAAAATATTGATCTTTTTTGGAACCAATTACTCTTCTTAAATATACCTCATCTTTATCAATCTGAGAAAACAAATTTTTACAATATATAAACGTATATTCCAATGCATCAGTTATTTCAACAAATAATAAACATTGTACAATATATTCAAGTATATAATAATATTACTTTAATAGCAATTTTAGCTAAAATAATAACTTACTGGTAATCTGCCATCAGAGTTATCAAATATGATTTCTACATGGGCAGATATAACACGAGGTCCTGTTCCCTCATGAAGCAGTGCTTGTCTTTGCTCTGGTCTGAGATGAGAGAATTCATCACTCAAAACAAATTGGATGGCATAAAAGAAATTACTCTTGCCAGAACCATTTCTGCCAACTTATAAGGAAACATTGAATTATATGATATATTTACATATATAAAGTTTAGCTCTATAGTTTACTGAAATGTTTGAGAATACATACCTACTACATTATGTCTTGGATCAAAAGGCTCAACAACTGTCTGTTCACGATAGGATTTAAACCCTTGAATAATCACCTGTTTTAATAATAAATAATTTAAAAGATTTAAAAATAAATAATTTATAAGATCAATCTGAAGTTTGACTATATCATAGAAGCTATCTTTTGGGAAGATTATAGCAGGATAGAAGTTACAAGTTATAAATAATACTTAAATCTCAAGCTGGACATATTGATATTTTGATATTACCACCTTTTTCTAATTTCTTCCTAGACTTTTTCAAATATTTTAACGTTATAAAAAATATATCAGACAACAAACCTTGATATACTTTAGATTAAGATACCAAAAAACATGTCCAGTTTGAAGGTTATTTGACAGATAAAGACAAAATGAATATTAAATGAGACTGAGACTTTTTGAACCTTGTGAGACAACCTTGTTTTTAGATATCAATTTTGATTTCTATTCTTTAATACTTAACGTCTTGTTCTTTATTTAAAATATTCAAAATGCGAGAAATGAGGAATGTAAGCGTCTACTCGGAAATAGAGTGTAACGCATAAAGTACTGTAAAAGAAGGTTGTGATATGATCCTGTTTGCTATACCTGTTTGATGTACATGATGTGGCAAGAAATCAAACGAACATATTGGTGTCAATGTTATTCGAAAACAAAATCGCAAAACGTGAACTTTCTTTCACCGAGCACAACGAAAACATTCAACCAACTTGTTGGCAGAACGACATTTGTAAAATGTGCAGGTTGACAACTACGAAAGATCTCCAGATTTGGGCGGGAGTCTGGCGAGCACAGGGACCCGATTCTCTAACTAGTTGCGTATACTTAAATTTTAAGTCTATTCTACAATTGCGTGAACGTGGTTGTAAGAGTTGTAAGTGATTACGACACCAATCAGAGTAAAGTAATCAGTGAATAAAACATTCGGATTGGTTGACTCTTACGTTCACGACTACGCTTACGCAATTGTAGAATGGGCTTTACTGCGCAGCTATTTTATGGTGTTACGTCCACGATAGATAACTATATAGGGAAATTTGAAAGTAGTGAAATCAGTGACTTACGTGGACGATCAACAGAGTGATGACTCCGCTTTTGGGTCACCCTGCTTTTCACCGAGTTTACCCTGGGTCTCCGGAGTCTGGCGAAACGATTGATGAATCTGGCGAAAAATCAGCGGTGCTTGTTCTCCTGGCTCGGCCTCGGATGTTCCGACACTACGCGAGTTAATGCGGCCCCCGATTCAGAATTTTGATTTCGCAACGTTTGAAATATGAAGGGTAGGCAAAAGTAATTGCAACACAGTCGGATTTTACGACTAATTATAATATTCTGAATAGGTACACGAAAGCTATCAGAGACTAATTATGAGAAGAGAATAATTGCCTTCTCTACAAATGCGCGCATTTTTATATGTCGCTTTGTCACTGAGAGTCGTTCTCCGATTGGTCCATGGAGTTATGGCGAGGAAAGAGATAACGGTTTCTTTAGGTCGATTTCAAGACTCTCCAGCAGCACGCAGCATTCGGCATTTTAATTATAATGTTTAAAGCGTCTTCTACAATGGCAGTAGGAGTAGTAGTAAGAAATAAGCAGTAAGTAAATAGACCAATCACAATCGATTATTTTTGAAACGTGAGAATGGAATTGGTCAATTTGCTTACTGCTTATTTCTTACTACTACTCCTACTGCCATTGTAGAAGACGCTTTAACGCTCGCAAATATACATACATACTTTGAGCACGTACTTACATCTAGTAACATAGGGTAAAATGTCTAGTGATGTCTGAAATCAGACAAGTCGGCCTCCCGGTCTATAATAATATATTATTAATGTTCTAAAATAGATCCGGACGTTACAATAGGTTTATTCTTTCGACTTGACCTAGGGCTGCACTGGAACTGTACTAGTTGAAAAAAGTTTAAGATAATGCAGACCAGTGCAAAGATACATATGGGTTTGAAAAGAACGGGTAAGAGCAAGTTAGAGCAGTGTAAGATGGCGGACAACATGGCTGGATTAAATAACATAGATCAATTTATGGTCATGTTTTCGCACTTATAGCATTTTATGTTTTGTTGAACAATCCTATTTCTTTTAAAAACTGTTTTGTGTTGGATACACATACAACAAATCCCTCCGAAAAAACGTCCAAGAGCCTTCCCAGGATGTCTTTCGAATATTTTGTGCTGTTTGGATAACATTCTAAATACTTCTTTTATGTCATTCTACATTATATATTTATTATATATTTATCTACATTATATATTTATTATATATTTAAGTATTTACTTACTGTTTATAGATTCCGTCGTCGGATTATTTCTTCTACGTAATGTCAACTAGGTATACCGATTTTACAGGTTATAGATACAAATTTAAATTTTTTCGGTTAGCTGCCCTGCACTGCTTGCTCTACCTCCAGACCTAGGGCAGTCAGTTCACTGAACTCGCTGCACTAGTTCAGCCTGCACTGTTCGAAAGAACACATTTTCTTGCACTGTTCTGATCGAAAGAACGCATTAGTGCAAACTTCGTGAACTAGTGCAGCCAGTTCAGGTCGAAAGAACAAACCTAATGGTATAATTAAACCTGCGCAGTAAAATTTACGTATACGCAACTAGTTAGAGAATCGAGCTCCAAGGTAGTGATCATGAATCTTTTTTCCTAGTATGAACTCGTGAAAAGTGAAAATTTTGTAATAAACTCATGAAAGATGAAAACCATTAAACTCATGAAAAATGAAAGAATTAGGCTGAGAGCACAGACTTTTGCATAATGCATAACGCATAAGGAAATCAACCAATCAGAAACCTTTATTTCCCTCCCAGGATAGAAATGAATGACTCTGATTGATTGATTTCCTTATGTGTTATGCATTATGTGTTATGCAAAAGTCTGTGCTCAGGCCCTTAACGTGAATTTGTAAGTAAAATAAATATTACAATATACTCAAGACAACACCAAATTGCAATGGATATCTTTAGAATTTTTTCAGCATGTTTTTAAGATATAGTGATGTCTTTAGAACGTCCCTTGGAGGTCTGCTTGTCTGGGATTACTTTAGGATTACTTTAAATTATTAAAAGATAAAATATTCTATTCATATTAAAATTATAAATCTGCAAAAAATATATATTTTGTATAAAATAATACATAAAATACATGCAATAAATACATAAAATAAACTTATATTTTACTTACTGCATACAATTTATAATATATTACACTTTAGCTTTCTGATGCATACGTATCTTAACTTTGCAAACTTCGTTGATATGCTTTCACTGCTAATACGTCATCACGCTTCAATTGGCTTTCGTTGTTCATTTTTAATGGACGTAGGATTCTTATGTCAAATGCCAATTGTCGTATAACCATAAAAATTAAAGTCACTATAAGAAATTCTACTCACTTTGTATATAATGGCTTGGTTTACATCGTACTCTTAATATCGATGATATATATTAACAACGGTATATTAAACTGGTATAATACTCATCAACAAAACGTATTGTTTTGATAGAATACGTCGCTGTTGATATGCATTGTCGATATTAATATTATCTAATAGAAAGTTACTATTTAGTACGCGTATCAAGTGCACGATGTAAACCAGGCCAATATACAAGTGTAGTATGACATTGACTACGTTTACACAGCAACGTTAATCCTGATTAGTAACTATCGTAGTTAGTAAATTCTCGAATCCAATTGGGGGGTATATTTTTAGATATAAAAGAATATACAAATAAAATCCAAGAAGTCACTAACTACGGTTGTTACTGATCCGGATTAACGTTGCCGTGTAAACGTAAGGATTATTATTCACATTTAAACCACATCGCTTGATGCTTAAAAATTTTCATGGAAACTTACACAATTTACATGTAAAGAAGAACATATACGAGCAAATTGAAATTCGCATGTACTTGACCAGAAAAAAACTCCGATTGGAAAACTATTTTTTTAAATCGTTTGTATTTTGTATGAAGAGTTTTGAAGTGCAATTGAAAAGATTTGTGAGTCATTCTATTACTTGTAATTAATTGTTCTTTTTTGGACCATATATTTAGTCGGAAATAATGACCGGAGGTAAATTAAACAAAGATTCGGTATGGTATCGTTTGTATTTCGTATGAAGAGTTATGAAGTATCATTAAAAAGGTTTGTGAGTCATCTAGATAATTTTAATTAAGTATTAAAAAATCATATATTTGGCCGAAATATCGATCTCAAACGCTGCTGTGAAAGTACCGATCGGTGTACTATCTAGTATTTCAATATTCGTGGTTCTTTTTAGGGTAATTATGTACAATAAAGGCCTTTTTCGAATTTTGATATCTTTTTGTAGCTCTTTTGGTAAAAATATTTATTTTGACTCTAATATTGATAATCAATCGGGGGAGCCCGAAAAATATGCAAGTTATATATTGTTTTAACTTTTTATTTTTTTTTTACTTATCGAACATTGCTGCTTCTCTTATAGAAATATCATACTAAGAATCATTGATAATTACTTATTTTCAGTATTAAAAATACTGGATAATAAGTAATTATCAATGATTCTTAGTATGATATTTCTATAAGGGTTTCCCACAATTTAAACAAGTTACTGATCTTTTAACCACATTATGTAACTGCAATATCGAACGACTAGCGGGGGCTGCGCCCCCCGCAACTCCCGCTCAAAACTAACCTAACCCAACATATCGTCACATTAGTCGTTAGTCATTGTTTATTAAAAAATTATTAAGAAAAAAAGTTGAACACTTTAATAAACAATGACTGACGGTTAATGTGACAATAGGTTGGGTTAGGTTAGTTTTGAGCGGGGTGCAGCCCCCCGCTAGTCGTTCGATATTGCAGTTACATAATGGCTGCACTCAGCAGACTCAACAGTTGCACAACAGTTGAGTAATTTGTCAATGGCTGCATTCAGTAGACTCAACAGTTGAGACATCTGTTTCCGATGGATCGAACTCCGCTATGAATTTTCTACTGGATTCGTTTGTGATATCGCTACTAGTAAAGATGGCTACTTCTAATGTATTACTTTAAAATAAAAGCGGATAAGGTTAAGTTAAGAGTAGTTTGACAGTAAAATTAAATTTGAAATACTTACGAATAATTTATAAAACAACATTGCATTATAAAGTTATGTTATATTATTACAGGAAATCTATACGTTCATACAGGACCT